TTTTTAGCCATCCTATGATCATTATTCTGAATTCTTGCTCTGGTAGGCTGCATGCCTCTAACTCGTTTACTTCCTTTTCTGGTGATGCCTGCTTTTCTTTCATGTCCGGGCTATTTCTCTGTCTCCCCATGGCCTCTCTTATCAGGATGTCTGGTTATGTGGTGTTCCTTCTTCTGTGTTGATTTAAAGGTAGAAAATACAAGGCTACCAGGTACAACACAAGAGGCACTTAACAGGAATGTATTTACAATATTAACAACCTCTAATAAAGGTGAGCACTAAAGAAAGGCAAATTAGGGGATAGAAGAGAAAGAAGAAAGGTAAAAATAAAATAAAGAAAATTTTTAAAAAATTAAGTAAATTAAAACAAAGAGGGTTAAAGAGATAGAAAAAGAAGAAAAAAAAGTAATGACAAAATGAAGTTGGTAAACAGGGAAAAAGAAAAGAGAGAGAGAGAGAGAGAGAGAGAGAGAGAGAGAGAGAGAAGAAGCAGCTTAAAAGAATAATGGGAAACAAACTATATATATCTTTGTTGGGAAAATTCCCATAGAACCACCATTAAACCCAGCCAATGCCAGTAACAATACTTGGAGATTAATACAAACTACAATATCCACTATTATTAAGTAAGGTTATGATATACAGAAGTAAAAACACAAATAAACACAGATGATTTTTTTTCAAAAAATACAAAGGAACAATAATAACACAGGAATAAGCATAACCATTTCACTAAAAAGCATAAAAATTCACAATAATCAACGTTCACACAAACAATGAGAAAATAGATAGAGAGGAGAACAGTTTTTTTTTTTTTTTAACTAGTTAATATAGTGCAGGGATAGGTATTTATACACTTGGATCAGGGGTTGGAACTTAGGTCTATAAGTATAGTGAGAGCTTTAGCAGGGGGTATACAGAAAGAATAGAGGAAAAACTAATGCCAGAGAGGGATAGGATAAACAGGAGACTAAAAGGGTTGAGTTGAGATAGGGTTGAATGCTGCTATAGTTGAGATTAAAATAGAATGAAAATTGCTCCCAATGTAAAAAAAGAAAAGAAAAAAAAAAAAAGAAAAAAAGAAACAAAAATTGCAAAATAGCAGTAGTAATAGTGATGATAGAGATTGAAAAATATAATAATTGAAAAAGTAAAATCAAGTAAGGGGAAGAGAAAAAAATTCGTTTCTTAAGTAAAAGATGTAAAAAATGAAAATTGAATAAAAGATGTAAAAAATGAAAATAAAATAAAGAATAGTAAAATTAGCTTAAAAATGTCCAGTAGTGGTCATTCACTTCCTCTGTTATTGTATTTGGCACCCCTGATTCTCGGACCAGACAGTCTTGCAGTTCCCAGAATTCCACTGCACCTCAGTTTTGTAAGGTGTTCCTTAATTTTAAGTAGGATATATCTTAGTTATTTGTGTCTTTATTTTTTTATTAATTAAAAGTAAAATGTAAAAAAGTAAAAAAAAAAAAAAAAAAAAAAAGCAGTTTCTAGTTCAGCCCCTAGGTTGCAGTGTTTCCTGTTTGACCTCCCAGTCTTTTTGGTTGCTCTGGCCTTCTTTCTCTATGGCTTTAGCTGGCAGAGTGCCAGCTGGCTCCCAGACTATCTCTAAAGCTCTGATCCCTTGTTTCCAGGAAGGCAATTTCCTCCTGCAATTTCCCTGGATATGCCCAACTTGGCAGTCCTTCCCTAGTATTCAGGAGCAAGGGGTTGAAGGGGATCAGGCGCCAAGGTGTACAGATGTTCCGCCCTTGGCGGGACAGCCGCGATTCTTAACAATCTGTCCCGTGTCCCCTGGCGTTTTAAAAAAGTCCCGCTTCTGGGGGGGATTATGCCAAACCCCGCACTGGGTGTTGCCGGGTAGGATATCGCTGCAGCCTTCTTTGGGCGCAGCTAGGCTCTGGCTGTGGCACGACGCTCCGGGCCTACAGTGGGGGCGGGGCCTCGCCGGAGCTCCGTGGCTACCGTCACTGCCTGCACCGCGGGACCCAGATCCCTCAGGCTGTCCCCGCAAACTCTGACCTTTCCGTGGGTGACTGAAGATCTCCCTTGAATCCACGTGTTTGCACCAATTGGGGCGTGACGGCTGCTCGATGGACTCCTCCGCTGTGGGTTTCCCAGCCTCAGAGACATTGTAGTTCTTTATCAATAATTATGTATAACAGGATATTGTAAAAATTAAGTTACAACATTTTTATTGAAATGTTTCTTATATACAATTATATTGGCTGGACCATGAAAGTATTTGTTGTGGGCAGCCTGCAGGATAAGATAAACAGTAGTCTGGTAACAAAAGTGAAGCTGAGCCGGGACCGATTTGGCTCAGTGGATAGAGCGTCGGCCTGCAGACTGAAAGGTCCCGGGTTCAATTCCAGGCAAGGGCATGTATCTTGGTTGTGGGCACATCCCCAGTAGGTGGTGTGGAAGAGGCAGCTGATCGATGTCTCACTCTCATCAATGTTTCTAACTCTCTATCCCTCTCTCTTCCTCTCTGTGAAAAATCAATAAAATATATTTATAAAAAAAAAAGTGAAGCTGAGAATTTGGATTATAGTGTGAAGAAAGTTATCTGTGAAACAAAGGGAAGTCTTAAAATTTATTCAGAGTTATGAGAATAAGAAGGGCAAACTTATACATTGAGCCATTTGATCCCGAGACTGGAGGAAGTTGAGGGACTAGAGGAAGGGTGATAGATGATGAAAAAAGGCGAGTGGGTCCTGTCAGGTGGTTCTTGGATAGAAAGACTCATCCCAAGTGTCCCCATCCCCACCTCTTAGCAAGTCCCCAAGGGGGGACATATTTTGTGAGGAATGACAGAAGAATCAAATGAAGATGGTGTCACACAGTAAAGCTAACTTGGGACCAAAAGAGGTAGTCCACATAAAGGGTCAAGTTTAAAGAGATGAAGCAGACAAGTAGGAGCCTTTTGCAATGGTGCATACATTGAGTTTGAGAGAGCTTTTCATTCTTCAAGGAATCTCTCCAAGTTGGCACATCTGAAGCATGACAGATGATCTTTTCATTTCTTTGGGCTTTAATAATGTTTCTAGCATTGTTCATTTTATTGTGGCAAAAATAAGTTATGGAAAATTTACCCATTTTAAACATTTCTGAATGGGCAATTCATGGGCATTTAGGCCATGCACATTATTGTGCAAACTTCACCACTATCCATCTCCAGACCTTCTGCATTTTTTCAAAATGAATGTCTACCAGTTACACAGTAACTCCTCATTCCCCTCGATCCCCTGGTATCTGAAAGACCAGGACTCCAGGCTTTATTAGAGGAGAAGGACCTGCTGGGCTGCCTCACAAGGGAAGAACAGCAACACCTGCAAAGGTGAACATACCCTTTGAGGGAAGGAATGGAAAGGAATGGGGCTTAATGTACTCGGCATGCGCTGATTGGTGGTTTAATGTATGGTCATGTAGGGACAAAGGCTTAGGGTATTTGGCAGGTGTTGATTGGTGGTTCAATGTAGAGTCCATATAAGGTGCTGGGTTAGGTACTCAGGTATGTCCAGGCCACCGGTTATATCATACTTTGCCCACTGGTTGGGGAAAGGGAGGATCTATCAGTATCCACTATTCTACTTTCTGGTTTCATAAATTTGACTATTCTAGGTACCTCATATTAATAGAGTAATATAATATTTGATCTTTTATGTCTGACATTTTATCTAGCATAATCCCTTCAAGGTTCACATACTGGTCTGTATCAGAATTTTATACCATTTCAAGGCTGAATAATATTCTATTATAAAAGGACCACAGCTTGTCCATTAACCTATTGACAAACATTGGGGCTGTTTTCCCCCCTTGGCTCTTGTGAATAATGCTATTCTGAACATGAGTGGACAAATATCTTTCCATTATTTGGGACATATTTCTAAAAGTAGACTTTAAGCATATAAGGTAATCTGTTTAATTTTCGGAGGAAATGCCACCCAGTATTTTAAAGTGGCTGCACCATTCTATATTCTCACCAGCAATCCACCAGAGTTCCAACTTCTCCACATCATCACAGACACTTGTTTGTTTTTTTGTTTGCTTGTTTTTTTATCGATAACACCCATCTTAATGGGTGTGAAGTGGTATGTCATTGTGGTTTGACTTGCATTTCTCTAATGATTTTGATGTTGAGCATCTTTACATGTGCTTATGGGCCATTTGAATATCTTCTTTGGAGAACTTCCTACTCAATTGCTTAGTAACATTTTTATTTGGATTGTTTGATTTTTAATGCTGGAAAAGTTTTTTATGTAATCTGGATAATTATCCCTTACCATATGTAAGATTTGCAAATATTTTCTTTCATTCTGTTGGTTGCCTTTCCAATATTCTTTGATGCACAAAATCTTTAAATTTTGATGAAATACAACTTATATACTTTTTTTTGAAAATGTACTAAAATTTAATCATTCATAAAAGCTGTAATTTAATCTGACAGTAAAACACAAGAAGCAATATTAGAGTTGGTTTAGTATATTATATATTTTAGCTTTGAAAGCCATAGAAATCAGTTATCCCAGTTTTTTTCCTATAAAAGACCCATTTTTTCCAAAGCATTATGCACAAATAATTTTAATTAGAATATAATGACAGAATATATTTCATAATTTTTAAATATAAAATGAAGTCAATGACTCAAAAAAGTTATCTGCTGTAATGAGTTTGAGGGGAAATTTCATCATCTATATCATTACAGATATAAAGTATAATGGTTCAACGTTTAGTGCCTGATGGGAGGAATCATGATAAAAAGGTCAATATGAAATCATTTGATTATAGTAGCAATATCTAACTTCTGAAATGCATCCATGCTCTTTTGTATAATCATATTAGAGTCAAGTATATTTATTTTCACATCTGTTTATTTTCACATCTGCTATTGCAAAGGAGAAATACTATTGTCTTATTTCTGAGAGATATACACAGAGCAATTTTTTTTCTCTCCAGGGAACTTGTGCAAACCAATATAAGATCTAAATTCTTCACATAATATATAAAACAGGAGAAGCCGCTTCAGATTTATTTTTTGAAGTCTGGAATGCTGGCACTTTCCAATTAAACAACAGTTCTTCATTCCTGTAATCTGGCTCAGAGCTGCTGCCCACTGTGGGCCTAAAGCAGCAGGTAGGGTTTCTGTTTAGGCTGCTTCTTTGCACTGGTGTTTTCCTATTGGTCTGTCTGACCAGGTCATAAAATATCTCATTAACGTTGATCTTTGACTTTGCAGAAGATTCTAAAAAGGCACAGTTACACCACTGTCTTGCTAAATTCTGACCCTGTTCTTTGCCAACTACTCGCTCATCTTCCAGGTCACATTTATTGCCAACCAAAATCATCGGAACATCTTCTGTGTCCTTAACCCGTAAAATCTGTTCCCTCAGGTCCTGTAAGTCATTAAATGTGGATTGAGCTGTAATAGAATATACTAGTGCAAACCCTTGGCCATTCTTCATATACAAATCCCTCATCGCTGTGAAGTGCTCCGTTCCCGCTGTGTCCAGGATTTCGAGCATACACTGTTGGCAATCTACTTCAACTTGCTTTCTGTAGGAATCTTCTATCGTTGGGTCATATTTTTCAACAAAAATTCCCTGAACAAACTGAACTGTCAGAGCAGACTTCCCCACGCCTCCTGAACCAAGGACCACCAGCTTGTCCTCACGCAGGGTGTGGTCTGTTTAAATACTGACAATCCCCCCCAGTCCAGCGCCTCCTCCGCCTCCTCCTCCTCCTCCGCCTCCTCCTCCTCCTCAGCCCTCCTCTCGCCGTGGCTCTGCATGGCGGCGCCTCCAGAACTCACACGGCTATACTTTTTTTTTTTTTTTTTTTTTTTTTTTTTTTTTTTTTTTTTTACCTGTGCTTTTGGTTTCATATGCACAAATCATTACTAAATCCAATATCATGAGCTTCTCTTATGTTTTTTTTTTCTAAGATTTTTATAGTTTTAGAACTTACTTTTAGGTTTTTAATCCATTTTAAGTTAATTATTATATAGTAAAAGATAAGGGTCAAAATTCAGTCTTTGCACCCTGGCTGGTGTGGCTTGGCTGATTGGGCATTGTCCGGTGCACTGAAAGGTTGTCAGCTTGATTCCTGGTTAGAGCATGTGCCCTAATTGTGGGCTCATCCCTGGTAGGAGGCATGCACAAGGCAGTTGATTGATGTTCCACTCTCACATCAATGTTTTCCTCTACCTCCCTCTCCCTTCCTCTTTCTCTCTCAAACACATCATTAAAAAAATTTTTTTTTAAATAAATTAGTCTTTGCATGTGAATATATAGGTGTCCCAGTACCATTTGTTGAAAAGACTATTCTTTACCTCATGAGTGTCCTTGGCACCCTTGTTGAAAATCATTTGACTATTTTTGCAAAGGGTCGTTTCTGGGCTATCTTGTTTCATTGTTCTACATATCTGTCTTTATGCTAGTACTACAGTAGCTTTAAAGCAACTTTTAAAATCAAGAAGTGAGTTCTCTGAATCTCTTCTTTTTTGAGATTGTTTTTCACTAATGGGCAATTCATTGGCATTCAGGACATGCACACTATTGAACTAGAAGAAGAAGTGATGGATGATAAGAAAAGGTGAGTGGGTCCTGTCAGGTGGTTTTGGGATAGAATGGTGAGTGGGCTCATCCTAAGTATCCCCACACTAAACTTAAGGATGGGCTTTTCTATTTCTGAAAACAAAATCATTAGGATTTTGCCAGAGATTGCATTGAATCTGTAAATAATTTTTGGTAATGTTGACATCTTAATTTAAGTCTCTCAATCCATGAACATTGGATGACTTTCCATTTATATATGCCTTCTTTAAGTGTTTTGTAGTTTTTAGTGTACATGCATTTTTTGTTATTTTCTTTTAATTCTCACCCAAGGATATTTTTTTCCATTGATTTTTAGAGAGAGTGGAAGAGACAGAGAGAGAGACATTGATGTGAGAGATACACACCAATTGGTTGCCTCTTGCTTGCAACCCCCCGGGGGCCGGGGATTGAGCCTGCACCCAAGGCATGTTTTTGACTGAAATTGAATCCAGGACCCATCAATTTGAGGGCTAATGTTGCCAAACTAGCCAAGGTTAGTGTACATGTATTTTGATTCCTTGGTTATTCGGAATATTTCTGTCAGGAAGTATTTTATTTTTTTATGTTATTGTAGAATTAATTATTGTTTATTTCCTCTTTGGATTTTCCATTGTTAGTGTATATAAATGTGACTGATTTTTGCATATTGATTTTGTATTTAATAACTTTGGTAAATTTGTCTATTGTAATTGACTCTGGGGTTTCCTACATATGGGATCATATAATCTGTGAACAATGATAATTTTACTTGCTTTTAATTTGAATGTTTTTAATTTATTTTTCTTGAAAATGTCTCTGTATAGAATTTCAATCCTCTGTTCAATAGAAGTGGTGAAAGCATGCATCCTTGTTTTGCTCCTGATCTCTGAAGGAAAGCTTTTAGTCTTCAACCATTGAGTATAGTGATAGCTGTGCATTTTTCAATATTTACTTTTTTATGGTGAGAAAGTTTCCTCTCTAGTTGATTGTGTGTTTTTCATCATGGACACATATTAAACTTTGTCAAATGCTTTCATCATGGACACATATTAAACTTTGTCAAATGCTTTCATCATGGACACATATTAAACTTTGTCAAATGCTTTCTCTTCATGGATTAAGTTGATAATTCATTCTATTAATGTGGAATCTTAAATTGACTGATTTTCATATGTTAAACCATCCTCACATTCCAGAAATAAATCCCACTTAGTCATTGTCTATAATCCTTTTAACAGGCTACTAATTATGTTTTGTATTGTATAGGTATTATGTCAAGGGGTATTGCATCATTGTTCACAAATAATATATATAGGTCTGTTGTTTTCTTTTTATGGCTTTGGTTCTAGGGCATTGCTAGCATTGAAAAAATGAATTAGAAAGTGTCCTTTTTCTTAAAATTTTGGAACAATTTAAGGAAGATTGGTGTTAATTTGTAACCAGACAATCAGTGGTTCTGGGCTTTCTGTCACTTCTTTTTTTTTTTTTTTTTTTTTTTTTTTTTTAATATTTTATTTGATTTTGTACAGAGAGGAAGGGAGAGAGATAGAGAGTTAGAAACATCGATGAGAGAGAGTCATCGACCAGCTGCCTCTTGCACACCCCCTACTGGGGATATGCTCGCAGCCAAGGTACATGCCCTTGACCGGAATCGAACCCGGGTCCTCCAGTCCCCAAGCCGACGCTCTATCCATTGAGCCAAACCGGTTTCGGCTCTGTCACTTCTTGAGCCAATTAAGCAGAGTTGGATAATTATGAGCGTCTATTCCAATACTGCCAGCAACGTGGGAGAACAGCAGGTCATCTGCTCTGCCCCCCATCATAAACTGGCTGTGTATATTGGTAGAAGTACAAAGGAAGTAGGCAAAAGGGTAAATGAGCAGGATACAGATATGCAAAAGAGCTGGGGTCTTCAAAGGGCTGGAGATTCTGCAGCTCAGAGGGGGGAGGGTGGGCTGCATTTCCCAGCCAGTCCCCAGTGTGTAACTGACAGCCAGGTTAGAACATGCCTTCCTTAACCAGAGCAAAACCATCACAGCTAGCAGAGCAGGGTTAATGTTTCTCACAGTTCTAGCTGGTTCCCCACATTCTATTTTTGCCCCTATCAAATTCTTCTTGAAGTGTCTGGTAGAATTCACCAGTGAAATCATCTTGTTCAGGACTTTTCTTTGTTGGGAGGTTTATGATTAGCAATTGGATCCCTGTTCTAGTTATCAGTCTATTCAGATTTTCTATTTTTTAAAATTCAGTCTCAGTATTTGTGTCTCTAGGAATTTTCCCATTTCATCTAGGTCATCCAGTTTGCTGCTGTGCACCACCGATGGTAGTGCTTTATAATCTGTCCACCGGGGTGGTGTCAGAGTCAGCAGCAAGAGCACCACACAGCGCTGCTGGACTGACTGGCTCTGAGTGGCTGAGTCCATGTGTTCTTCTAAACCCTCCCACCCCACTACACCGGGGCTGGTCCCTCTGAAACCCTGCCTACTGACTCTGGGGTTTCCTACATATGGGATCATATAATCTGTGAACAATGATTGTGGTAACTTAGTCCACGTTCCTCCTTTATCCTCTGCTCACTAGTCACAGGTGCTGGGTCCGAGCCCCTTTGTCTGGGTCTGGACCTCCAAGGATGCCAGGTCAGATGAGAAGCCAGGAGAATCTGTGGGTGTGTAAGGATGCGCCTTGATTGCAGAAGCCAGAGGCCACAGAGCAGTCAGACAGAAGAGTCCTCACAGCACAGTTCACACAGGCAGGCAGCGGACACTGGCTGGTGAACGTAGGTCTTTCCCACACAGCAGCATCCGTCCCTGAACCCACAGTTGGTACCTGAGCAGCCACACACTGCCTCCTACACTCACCGCCTCACATTGTAGTGTTATCTGAGCCCTCTGGCTCAGCTGCTTCTCCTGTCTCTCCTGCCCAGCTCCTCTCTCTAGCAGTCTTCCTCACACACTCCATCCCAGCTGCTCTCTCTCCACCAGCAGACTTCTTCTCACTCCTGCCTCAGCCAACGAGACTGGTCAGTAACCTACTCTTATGCTATTTAGACAAAGAAGGCTTCATGACAACAATGATGTCAATCCTATTGGCTCTGAAGGGCACAGGGGACCTGGCAGCCTGGCCCTGCTCATGTATCTTGGCTGATTGGGTTTCCAGGCTCAGAGTCCCAGGACATCCCATTTAGGCTCACGCCCAGAGTGGCCTTTGGTCCTCCTGGTGTATTGGTAACAAGGTCTCTGTGCTCCCACCGGCCTTGACCGTCCAGAGACCTGGTGTGGCCCCCACAGGTGGGCAAAAGCATGTAATAATTAATAAATTACATGAGAATAAACTCTGTGTTTCACAAATTCACAGCGGTAAGCTTACTTTTGCCCACCCCATATCTGTATAAAATCAGTAGTGATGTTCACACTTCTGACTTTAGTGATTTGTGTCTTTATTTGTTTTCCTAGTCGATATAGTAAAGGTTTGTTAACTCTGTGATCTTTTCCAAATACTAACTTGTAGTTTCATTGATTTTCAGTGTTATTTTAATCTCTATTTTACTTATTTGCTTTATTCTAATCTTTATGAAGTCTTTTGTCAACTGATAGTCACTAGCAGGAATTCAAGGCCATCAGGAATTCCCAATTTGGGATGTGATGAAGAAGGAAACTGTTCAGTGCAAAGCAGCTCAGTTGTGATAGAGCAGGGTGTGAAATCAGCACAATTGTGAGGCAGCCTGGCCAGGCCTGAGGCCAGACAGCTCTGCTCTGCTCCATGAGGGTCGACTAAGCGCTGTGCTAGTTTAGTCTGCTCTGCTCTTTGCCAGCTGTCCTGGCTGGCACTGGTCTGCTTCACTCTGCTCCAGTGAGACAACCTCAGTGTTTTAGCTCAGCCAGGGGGGTGAGTCTTCAGTCTTGAAAGGAAAGTACTCTCTTAGAGCCAGAGGGGGCTGGCTTCCATGGACA